GCCCCTTTCTCATTATATTCTTTTCTATTGCTGAGTCAAGAAGAAAATCAAATTTTATCAAACATTTGAAGCAAAATATAAATGCCAGGGAAGAGTTCTTTCTAAAATTACTTTCAATTAGACATGCCCTTGTCCGAGACCAGGGTAATAACACATTTTAGCCCTTTCCAACAGTCAGATGTCAACCACATCAAAACCATTATCAGCACATCTCCGACTAAAAAGCACCCCTGAAGAAAGCTTGCCTTGCTTAGGAGCTCACACAACGTTCCATCAAGTTTTGGATGAAAAAGAAGAAAAAGCTTGGGTTATCTTGTCCCTTTGCAGCTCTCCCAGTCCTTTACATCTCCACTAGGAATCCAGGCAGGACTTCAATGGCTTTGGTTTCTCTGGAGCATATTTTCAAAGCATGCATTCAGTCTCAGTCTGACCACGAGAGTGATACTAAAAGGGTTTTAAAATCATGGGGATTTAGGGTTAAAAGGAAAATTAAGCTTAGTAGGCCCTGGAAAAATAAATACCCTAGGTACATGAAGAACTTGTACTTGCTAGAACTGCACCTGTGTAGCTAGTACATGATAAATGATATAATTGTTAGATGTGGTGATTGCTTAGTAATGAAATATAATTACTATTTAATCGTAAGAATAATCATGAGAAACTGTGGTCAGGGGCCTAAGAAAGATCACGAGAAACTCATGTCAATGTGTACAATAGAACAATACAAGTTTAATAGTTAATATGTAAGTTATATAATGATAGAATATAAAATACATTCAGCTCGAAAGCCATGTCAGAGTCAGATTTGGGTCTGTACCCCTGATTCCCAGAGCTCTCAATAAAAGCACCTGCATGGAATCATATCCTGTGATTATGTGTGTTCCTGAATGCTGACAAGAGCAGGGAAAAGGGGAGAACATTCCTGCAACTCCCTGCAAGCTCCTGTTCTAAATGCACAGCAGAAATTGTGAAACATTTTCTCAGCAAAGAGAAAACCCTGGGGGATCAAGATGTTATATGTTGTTCTGTGCCTTGAAAACCCAAGAATTCACTGTAATGGAAGAGGAGAGCACAGGGAGCTGCAGATGTTCCCAGCAGCAGCACAGACGGTCCCTTTGGCTCCTGTGTCACAGAGGCCTCGATGGCTCTAAAGCATTGAGAGCCCAGTGCTTGCAATAGGTGAGAGGAAACATTTTTACAAGACAGGTGTAAAACCACTGTGGGAATCCAGAGCTTCCCTCTGGCTGCCCTGGAAGGTCTGGGACCCTGGCAGGGGTCAGGAACCCCCCTGGACAGAGCCCCCAGAGACACTGTCTGTGATCTCTGTCCATGGAAAAGAGTTTTCAATCTTACAGGATGAATTACAAGCTCTGAGTGTTTGATAAGAGCAATAATTAAGTGTGGCATGGGTGCAAATGTAAAATTTTAAGTTTCTAGATTAGGGGTTCAAAGGGGACAAGATGGAGGAAATTGGGTGTGTCTTGTCCTTTTTCTCCTTCTTCATGCCCTCCATGTTTCACTGTAGTGTTGGCATTTTTCTGTTGGTTTAGGCTGGGGACACACTGTCCAACGTAGGTGACAGATATTGGCACGTTATTGTAAATCCAGCACAGGTAGTTTCTGGTATTTAATGTTTGTACCATCCCACTGAGGGCAGAGCCCCACACGCTGCCCTGCAGGACAGAGCTGCGGCAGGGCAGCAGAACATGTTAGAGATAAACAGAATAAACAACCTTGAAACCAGCACAGATGAATTATGGCTTCTTCTTTGGCAGTGGGGCAGAAAGACAGAGACTTTCTACAATCTGGGAATCATCAATACCTGCAGATTCTGACAAGCCACAAGGCACGTGAATACACCAGCAGCCCAGCACCATTTCTCTCAGATCATTACTCATTTTTTCACATAATATGAAAGATAATAGCTCCTTGTATTGAGGTACCACAGAGGTGCTCTGTTAGGGTGCTGCTGCCAGTGGTCTGTCACCCTGGCTCCCACACAGGATGGGAGGAACATGGAGTGGCTCTGATTCAAGAGGTCCTACAAGCCTAAAAGCACTTTACTGGAAATATAAAAAGCTCCCCAAAAACTAAAGCAGTGCGAAAGATTTCAGCGTGTGCATTATGTACAGTCACAGGAGAATGACATGAGGGTTTTGCAGAAAGCTCAAGACCAGCACAGAGGATTGTGAGCTGGATTCTGATTCTTATTTGCAATTCAAGAGGTCTGTGATTGATCAGAGCATTGTTTCTTCTCCTCCAGCTACAGTCCTTTTCACCCTCAGGGTAAAACCAAAGAACAAGGAGCGAATAATGCTCTTAAGATATAAACCTTTGGCATTTGGTGGATATTTTAGCCAATGCTGGCATTTCATTACTGATATCAAATAAAGAATTATACAGCCTCATTCAGCCTGATTTCCCCTACAATATTCCAACCAGTAGCAATTGCAGTCTAAGTCTCAGGTTGAAGATTTTATTTGCTAATTAGATTTTGGGGGAGATAAATCTGTTAGTCCGTGGTTTGATCAAAAGTTTGAAAGCTAGTCTTACAACAAAAGAGAGAAATTCTGGCTGCAAAGTCAACATGAGCCTCACCCAAAATTTCTCACAGCCCCTTTAACAGCATAGATGTTTCAAGCTAGCACATCTGGGTCTCTGAAACAGTAGCAGCACTATTTCAAATATTCTCAAAGGCAGATACTTAGATAGGCTTGAACTGGTGACAATAGTTGTCCAGATCAGCTTCTCAGGCCAAATAGAAACACACCAGGACCACTGAGCAGGCAGGCTCAGTTTCTCACAGGAAACACTTGAGTGAAGCAGGATGCCAGGGCTTCAAAGAGGCAAAGCTGGAGGACATAGCAGCACATGTGCTGAGGGGCAGAAAAATTAACAATTTTGATACTGCAGCTACTCCAAAAGATATATTGCCAAATACTGAGGCAAAGAATAGAACAGTAGAATTCAGTGAAAAATTAGAAAATGCTTGGCATGTTTGGGGCATCAAATAATCAATATTTGCTCCCCAAATTGTAACTGATGAACCAAAACTTTCTTTAGGGCACAAAAGGCACCACAAGAGATCAAGCAGCACATGACAGAGCTTTGCCACCAACAGCATTCTCCACAGAGCATTTAAGACAGGTCACAAACCAGCAAAACACCAGCTGCTTGCATTTACTTTTTTTGTTACATTTCTAAAACAAACTTCTCTTGAGACAAATCTGACCGAGTTATTTACAATATTTTCTCTTGCTCTGACCATTTAAATAGATTTGATAAGCAAGCCAGATTCCATGGCAGTGCTTCCAACAGTTAACTTGCAAGAAATCCTGTGATGAACCTTAGTCCCTTTTCACACTGACTTTATTATACTCACAGAACTTTACACTTGTTCATATACAATGTGAAAATAAAACACTGCCAGGCCAGCAGACAAACCAGTGACCTAAATGTTCCAGAAAATGAAATTATATATGCCTTGGCTGTCCTGCAGGGCTTGCAGGAGCAGGAAGAAGTATCACCAAATAACTTGAATTCAATAATTCCCCAGAAGCACCAGTTCCCACAACCTTAGGAAATTCTGATACAGTCAGCAGGAGAAAATACATCTCTCTGGCAGCTAACTACAAAAAGAGAAAGTGGGATGCTCAGGAAAAAGAAAACTAAAAGGAGAATTATACACTGGAAGATATATAGAAAGAGAAAGAACAGAAGATTTCTTCTCTGTCAAGCAGGAGGTTACAGATCCATCCTGTGTTAACACTTCCTTTCCATTTTGATCACAACCACCTTTATTTTTTTAATTTATTTTAAACCCTGGCTTTGAAGTGGTGGGTTATGGGAATGAAATAAAGGATGCATTACAAAACATCTCTCAATCAGCCATTTGGTCTGACCAGCTGAACTTCTTTTAATGTTATGCAAAAGAAGCTGAACAGGCCCTCAAGCAGAGGATGCTCCTGGCCTAAACTGGAGCCTGATAAAATAATTGTATTCCCATTAGAAGGTGCAGTCATGCAGCCCTGCTGCTGAAATGGTGCTTTGATCATATCTTGTGGAAAACTGGCAAGACCAACCATTTAATGTCACATTTCTACTTTTACTCTACAGCTCTTATTACTTTATATGCATAAAAAATGCATGGCTACTTATAAATGTTTGATTATATTCTGGACTAGACCTGTTACATTTTTCACCTCCCCTCCAGGAAAAATTCTGGAAAATGCACACATTCCATACAGGGCATGGGATACTCTGCAAAATTGAACATAGGCATTAATTCAAAGGAGAGAAGCAGCTGTTCCAGGAACAGTACCAAAACCAGGAATGTGGAATTTGTCCTTTTTTGCAAATAATTATGTTGAAATTGCGAGAGGCAGCCTCAGTGTTACAATGCTAGGAGGCTGAGACTCTCCTCTTATGATTGTCCCTCCTTTCATGTTCCTGCTGTGAGACAGAGCATGAGGCCAAAAACTGGTGAGCTGGTGATAATTATTGTTTTATAGATCCATGCAAGAAAACTACTCTGGGAAAGGGACATAGATGTCAGGACAGCCCTGAAAAAGTGAAAGAGTAGCCTACAAACCTACCTAGTAGTTGAGAGGACTCACTCATAAAAGATTCATAGTGGCTATTGAGCCCATTCATTGATCCAACCTTCTACCAGCAGCTACTCTTTACAAAGAGTGCTGTTTCCAGGTATTCTCCACATCACTCACCTCAATTCCCAGAGGGGCAGGCAGCCCATATTAAACTGCACTGATAAGAACATCCCTGGAAAAACCACTTCTACCTGGGCCCTGTAAGCTCTTGTAGGTGTTCTAAAACACTCTGAAAAAGATTAAAGAACAAAGCAGTTACCAGCAGGAATGCTAAGAAGATGAAGAAAAAGAAACATGGACATGGAAAACAAAGATTTTGGATGTATACATTGCACTGCCTGAAAAAGATCCAACTGTAAGTCTTGCCATGCTACCCGTTGCCTTGAGACTTACCATAATCAAGTGGCTGTGCAGTCTTTCAGCTTGAAGCTGATTTTTAAAGAACAGGTATTTCTCTGCTCATTCTCTTTCTTTTATTTTCCTTGAACGGATGTATTTTGACTAGATCTAGGAGTCTGAAATCACAAGACAAAAAGCCCATGAGTGAAGGAAGGGGTGGGGAAGGCTTCTTTAATCACACAGGTGATGGTGAAGGGAGATTTGCACCTGGGCCAATTACTCATTAATCTGCAGCAGCTCCTGGTAGAACCACTTTGTTCTTATTGTGCAGATGATAGCCAGCAGGCTCTCTTGTTTTCCAGCTTCTATTTATTTCCCAGGCAGTAACTACTTGTTCTATGCATCAGGAGATTAGGAAGAAAATGTGTTATTTCCATGAAGGCTGACACAGCCTTTTTCTCCATTTATACCTACTGATTTCTTTTCCCCCACTGATGCATTATATTAGTTCCTCTCTGAGTTCCATTTTTTTTACACCAGTGTTTTAAAATCTTTGAGAAAATGCGTGTGCTGTTTAGAATACTACGGAGTGAGGATAGACCAGGTGTGGATCATTTTACATTGCAGGGAAATGAGGCCTCTTTTCTCCATAATTATCAATTCTGCTTCTACAGAGAGCTTTTCTCTACTGCTAGGCTACAGCCCTTAGTTACCTTATGCCACTTGGTAAATATTCAAAGGTCACTACACCAGGATTTCCCCTGGAAGGCAGAATTCCTAGAAACACAGGGCTAGGGTAAGGAAAACAGTCCTGTGTGAAGCTTGGCTCCCTAACAAAGGATGAAAATTTCTCAGTAGATAGAACTGAATACTGAGAAAAGGAAAAGCTTTGATTCTAATTCTAACATTACCTGAGGAATATCAGTTATCAAAGAGGGAGAACACACAATTTTACCAGGAGTGAGATGTTTAAAGTGCTATAGATGCTCCTTTTTTGGACTTGGTGGAACATAACAGATGCAAAAACCATTGGAAAAGTGGACAATGCTAAGCAATGTTACCATGCAGGTAACATTGCATGGCAGGCACCGTGCCTGTGTCAAATTCACCTTAGATGACATTTGTTTTTCATAAAGTCATTGAAGCTTTCACCAAAAAACACCTTTTACATGTTTTCCTTTTATCTTCTCCCTAATTAGCTTTTTCAGTAGAGTTAAACTGGAGGTTAATCCATTTGACTTTAGTGTTGTCTACATGAAGGTACTTGAGATAAATCAGTTTTAACTAATGAAAGGTTTAAATTCAGAGCAGAGGAGTCAAACTGCATGAGTCCATCTTATGGACACTTGTTCACTTAAGCAGAGTTTGTTTCCACAGTGGACAATGTACAAGAGCATGAGTGACATGACAAAGGGGGAGGGCTTAAAACTGGCAGAGGGTATGTTTAGATAGGATATTAGAAAAAATTATTTACTCTGAGGGTGGTGAGGCACTGGCATAGGTTGTCAAGAGAAATTGTGGCTGCCCCATTGCTGGATCAGGTTCAATGGAGCTCTGAGCCTGGTCTAGTGGAAGATATCTCTGCCAATAGCAGGGGGTTGGAATTAGAAGATTTTAAAGGTCCCTTCCAAAACTCAAGCCTTCTATGATTGTGTGTAGGCTGTATGTGCAGGATGCATCCAATTTGTCTGGGTGCATTAGCTGTCAAACTCTCACAAAACCTGCAACCCCATGTTTGCCCAGGACAACCTCCCCGGATCATTTTGTTCTTTTTTCCTTTTATGTGTTCTCTGTATTCTTTACACATATATTTGGAGCTCTGTGTTATTGCATATATAGCTAGCTTTCCCAGTACTTTTCCCTGCCCTGATAGGCAGAAAGACAAAACTCATTCTAAAGCCCCTATCCTCTCTTGGCTCTTTCTGGGAACCAAGGCCAAAAACAGCTCTTCAGGACACATTTTCATCTACAAGTTTCCATCAGAGAAGGCAGGACTTAAAGGGGGGGTGTGGGCAGTGGATTTGTAGAAATGCTGACTTAGAAATGCCATAGAATAGAGCAGATGTTGAGAGTGAAATGGATGTAGAAAAAAGTTTCAAAAGATAGCCTTGCAAATAAGACAAGATACTTTGGAGAAACAGAACTATGAAAGATGCATTGTAGTGGGACCCACGAGGGGTTTTAGATGAGTTTTAGATGAGTTTTAGATGATTGGCTTTAAGGCATCTACAGCATGGTGTGGCAAAAAGCTGACAGGGCAAGAAACACTTGTATTGTAATTAGGAAATAGTTGGCTTCTGATTGTGATGGCACGAATTACAACATCTGTGTTGTCTCACCCTTCTCATGAGACTGAAAATGGAATAAAAGTTTTTAAAACACCTCTCAGTTGCCCCATCTCTGTGTCAGGAAATAGGTGTTTTCCAACAAGGGGGAAATTACCTCACCTCTTATGTCTCTAATTGGTGATTTTTGTCATATATGCTAATTTGCTAAACCTATAAAAACTGCATAAAAACCCTAGTCCTTCATGGAAAGAACAATGACCACTAGGATATTTTTAGTTGGAAAGTACTACCTTCTCCTTCAGCAGATAAAAATACAGCTACATGGAATAATTTAGTGTTGTAATAGGAAATAATAAAAATGCCAACAACTGTTCACGCACAACCTCTTCAAAGGAACCTTTGTGCTTTTAAAAATCAACAATCTGAAAATGAAATGGGAGGTTAATGTGATTCCCTTGGTGCAGCTGAGGCTGCTACATATGCAAGTGCTTTGTGTCAGGCTTTTGTGCCAGCACCAGCATATGGGATCAGACACAGAGGAGGAGTTCTGAACTTTTCTGCAGATGGATGAATGAATTCAAACTGAAGTAGCAGCACAGATCTTGCAATAGCCAGTCCAAAAATAGTAAAGAAATCCCTTTTCTACATTTAGTACTGTGTGGTTGGGTTTCTGTGTTCATTGATGAGCTTCTAGGCCAGCTCAAATTTTACAAGACCTATAGCTCTTTATTTCTACAAAGAGTCAAAAGAGTGCAGGAGTTTTGAATATTAGCATGTTATCTCACTTTTTTCTTTCACTGCTTTCAGCAGGGCTGGCTCCACTAAATAACACATAAATCTTAACTGTCTGTTATAAAAAGATTATTTTGAAAAAGGGTTTCTTGCCAGACTATTATCCATTTTGTACCACTTTTTCTTTCCTTGTTCTTTTTTATTTTTCTATGAGAAAGAAAGGTTTATCCTCTCTTTTTTCTTTCTTTTTCTCCTGATCTAATTTTTTGTGGCTGGTATATAAGAGCGCTGATTGAATGTAGTTTTTCATTTTGGCAGCTTTTTAAAAACAAATTCCATAGCATGATCTGACCAGTGACAAATGACCCAGCACTTCCACTTGGAATACTAATGCTCCTAGGATCTCATGGAGATGCAGCAAGAATTAAAAAATTACTGCACAGGAGAAGTGGTAACTGATGTAAGTCCTGCAAACTGAGCTTTTGTCCTCCACCATTTCTACAGTAACTGTGCAATGCATTGTGCTTTCTATTCTCAGGCTCGCCTTGGAAGCCAATTAAATTAAAAGGCTATTCATTTCATTCTATTTGTCTCCAGGACACTCACACAGAAATGCAAACAATTCCTGTTCACAGTTCCCTGCATCAGAGAAACTGATACTGTACTGCTAATTTGTGATAACACTATTAATCAATATGCAATCTGCCCCGATTTAAGAGATGTACATAGTATGTACTGTGAATTTACAAAACACTGATTAGGGAGATCATGAAATTCAATCTTCTGAAGGGCACGTCTTTCAAATCCTTAATGCAGCTCTTTTTCTTGGTTTAATCAGATAGTTAATCATTACAACTCAGGCTTTCCAAGAGCCAGATTCATCAATACTAGGAAGCATGGATTTGTAATATTGAACATTTACAGTCTCAGGAAAGCTTGGTGAAAAGCAAAGCTGTAAAAGGTGGTTGGCAAGCACTTTGCTGCTTTAAAAAAAAAGCAATGGAGGAACTGAGGGAATATTTCTTAGTAAAACCAAAGAGTCATTTGAGCACTGATCCACCATTTTGAACAACAGAGAAACATAGTCCTAGATACAGTGTTCTCTAAGGCACTAGTCTTGTCTCCATCTCAGTGAGAAATTAACATTTTTGTTAAATCACAGAAAACAAATGGACAAGAAACATTATTATCCTGTGTTTTTATACTAAATTAAGCTTGTGGTACAGTTCTCTGTGCAACTTTGAGCAAGTGTAATTTCAGATTTGGAGGAATAACCTTCACTTTGAAGTGAAGCAGGAGGACTTCAACACCATCCTGCAGGATATGAAATTACATCCTGCAACCTGCCATTTGTAGATCATTTTTGCAGGCTAGCTACCACACATTGGAACGTGCCTATCAACAATGGCAGGTCAAAGGCTTTTCTAATGGTTGTGTTACTGAAGGTTTGCTGAGAGAGAAGATGTGGGTTTGTAACAGAGGCAGCAGCCTCCACTGCACTTTATCTGGACATGGCTGGCAGGGTGTAACAAGCTAAATGAGGCTGAAATGACAAAAATGCCTCCAGGTTCATGAAAACCCGAGACACTATTTCTGGGAAAACCTGGCAGTTTACTCAAAATTGCCAAACACTTAACTACCTTTGTCAGAGAGATGAAAGCATTCTGGCCCAGAATCACTCACCTGCAGTGCTAAAACCCACGGGCCTTCCACCAGGGGTGAGCTTGAAGACTTCTCCAACTTGAGAAAATGAACTTGCCTCCCCCTGCTATGATTAGATTAGTTCTGTGTTCTTCTCTCCCTGACTCTCAAGAAAATTTCAATCAGTTACTGAAATATTAGAAGACGAAAACTTTAAAGTGAAGAACTGGTAAGTGAGGACAGGCTTTGTAATATAGCTTGGAAAAAGAAGCAAATATGAAAATTTCAAGCAGGTCACTTCAGCCTGTCTAGTCATCGTCTACTATGCTGACTAGAAGGAACTCAATAAAATGAAAGGTGAATGACTTTGAGATGACTGAAGGAGAAAACCTTTTCAGCCCGAGGATTTTATGGCACAAAGTATCAAACAGCATTTAGCAAGCTTCCAAAAAGCCAACTAATGTAATGTACATGTATAATGTATATGTACATTACATATAAATGTAATGAACTGCAAACCAAAGCACCTGGAGGGGTTTGTACATATTTTTATTCACCAGCACAGGGGGAACAGCAGAAAGCAAGAGCTGCACAATAAGGACCAGGAACTGTGGGCTGGCACATTTCTCTATAAATTGCCCTGCTGTGAAGTTTCTTGATCCATCTCCTGACCCAGCTGGAATGGGCCCTGCTAAAAGAGAAGATGCTAAATTATAAAATCCATAGGTCTATAGGATACGGAGCTTCAGGTCTTTCTGTGTCCTTTGCTGCCTAATTCCCTTGCTTTGAGATAGTTTTCCTTGTTAGTGCAATTCCTCTGC